TAACCTGGTAATAACCGTAATAAATTACTGCTATTAGACACACAGATTGTACTCAGTCATTTCTCTGGAAGGTGGTTAGGACAAATACTATAGCTGAATTACAGAGGAATGTGGGTAGATCTATGTTTGTTAATAATATTTAGGTATTGTGTTCAGAAGAAAAATCTGGTAACAAGCATTAAGTCTCATGGCTCAATATATCAGTTCATTCATTGCCTGCAGTAGTCAAGAAGACAGATTCTACCTTGTTGTCTGACTAGTGTGAGTGAGGTTTGTGAGAACCTGCCTGTTTCTGTTACAGTACAGGATAAAGGAAACAAAGGGTGACAATTCTTTTATGTCCTATTGTGAAAGTTTTCTTTACACAAAAATAATCTAGGAAAAATAATGCTATAGATAGATATATACCTACAGTGAAGTAAATAAGCTATTTGTTCCCTGAGGCATTAATACCTAGATGTAGCACTGATCTTATGGGATGCTTTCTTCTTACAGGAGACTGTTACTAGGCTGATTGTCATATAACATCTTTCTTTCCATAGCAAGTTTTGTAAAGCAGGAAGGAGAGTTCCAAGATCTCTTCTCTTAGCAAGGAAAACATCTGTTGATGTCAGAGAGGTTTTGTTTCAGTAAAGAACAAAAGCTTTCTTTTTTACATTCTAGAAATAACTGTATTTTCAATATGGCACTAAAAAACCAAAGTTAAAATCAGTCTTTCTCTGTTCATCATATTAAATGGAATGGCCACTTGGTCTCTCATGCTTTGATAAACACTTTGGAAACATAGTTCAGTAGAGCCAATTCTAGCATGCATGAATTAATAATGAGAGTGGGGTTTAGGGAAGCAGTTAACTAAGCTTGCACAGTTGAGCATTGTTTTGCCATTTAGAAAATAGTTCATCAATGCCTCTCTCCTAAATCCATTCTATAATATTGGTGAGCAGTAGTGTGTGGAGATATTAATTTGAAAGGGAGAACAGTTTCTTGGCACTGTTACTGCTTTCCTTTTTGGTAGATAAATGGTCAGCTCTGCTGTTATCTAACCTAGTGTGATCCTCTGCTAAGTGCAGTACAGTTGTTCTGGCTGCTTTATGAAGTCCCCGAGTCTATCGACTTAAGCATGTGATTTGTCAGCACAGTGCTCTTCCCCAGCTCTCCCAGCACCACTGAGTTCTCTGAAATGGCTAGCACCAGTGTTTCCAGATTGTGTGATGACCAAACCTTTGATGTGAAATGCAGATTTTAAAGGAAACTTTCCTCTATAATGGAGAGGGACTGGTGTGATTCAAGGGGGACTAGAAAGGAGTGAAGTCTCAATTCTGCACAGTTAATCCTCTTGCAGTCAAAGTGCCCAACACCTGCCTCCACCATTTCAATGTTGTCTGTCAAACCCTGGGTCTTCCAAATGTGACTTTTATGTAGCTTTCCCACTGCCCTTAACAGACTAGTCTATGCTGTCTGGGAGCAAAACTTGAGAAGCTTTCACCCAAGTCAAATTATCTTAAAAACTAGATGGGACTCTGCTGCTGCTGCAGGGGCTGCCTAAAAGCCTTTCGGCACAGTTGGCATGCCATGCATATCAAGAGGTGTGTGTAGAGGCTGCAGGATTCCTGTCTTTAAGGAGGGCTGTGGCTTTCCATGTGCCTTTGAATTTGGAACGGTGATCCTTTTCCCCATCTTTTCTCCCACACAGTGCCACAATGTTTGGCAAAGCCACCACATACTTAGGCTTTTACCTCTTGGAATCTGTCATACCTCATACAAGCTAAACTCTATTTAGGTTTTAATGGACTCTGGATGGCTCAAACTCATAATTTTAAAAAAATAACTGGACACTTATTTAAGCTTTCACGTAAATGCTAAGGCAACCTAGATTAAGAACTTCAGACAGATCTAAAATAACTGTAGTTTTCACCTGGTATGATAGCATGAATCTCTTTTCACTTTTTACTAGTTATATTAGATGCATGCAGTTGTCAGTTTTGGTTTTATCTAGGCTTTTGGCCCCTTCTTTAGGACTTGCTGTTTTATTTATCTCTAAAGCATCTACAACTCTTGCTGCTATATGACTAGTAAAATAGTAATAACAGCTCTTCATTGTAGAGTTTCATATTTTCTTTGTGGCTTCAGAATGAATAATTGTATTACACTGTGAAAACCCATTCAATTTAGAAAGTGAGAGATTGTTAAACCACTAGCCACATCTACATCAGGTATTTAAATGAATAGCTGTTTTATAGGTTTTCTTTTTACATATTTTTAGAGTTTATTGGGTGCAAAATGTCTGAAATTTGGTATTTCTCAACTGCTGTGAAATCAAACATCTGCTGAGAGTGGCAGAAGTCCAAAATCAGAGCTTACGGTTCAGAAGGGAATGCTGGTAAAAAACTTCCCTATAATAGCTTGCATGATTTTTACATGTCTCTGCTATCAGTGTGAATTTTGCCTTTTACTGATTTTGTTTGGTGTTAAGAGTTCTCTCAAAAGTGCCACCACTTTGTAATTATTACCTTCCTTTAGGAAAAAGGCTTCCAATGTCAATGAAAAACTTTAATACCAATGTCACAGTGTTTGCAGATCTGCATCTGAATGTTGGAAATGCTGCTTGCTGACTCAATGTTTTAATTAATGGCACAAGACTCGTATAATTCAGGCACCTTTTGGGTGCCCTGCTAAGTTAGTTATTTCCTTTTGAGCTGAGAGCACCAGTCCATGTTTCCTTATCTTTCCCTAACTAGGGATACCAACAGTTATGGAAACACTTTCCTATCAGTGTTTTTCCATGCTGGAACCCCATATAACATTACATTTCTTTGAGGCTGGTAGGCAAGTGGATGACTTCACAAAAAAAACTTTTAAGGTAAAGCTCTGTACCTAATTACAGTATTGGAAAGATAATTAGCTGCTTAATTAAGACCAGCATTTCAAACTTGGCTCCCAGATTAAATAACTTTTTCAGATTTGAACTTGGCCTGCTTGGGGATGGGAAGAAGGGAGGAGGAAACATTTGCAAAGAAACAGTTAGTTTTACTGGTGCTTGTGCAGTCTATTGTCTGCCTGTAAAACTGCTCTAGAAGCTACAGCCTTGTTGCTTGTTTGTGCTAGTAGTAGGAATAAAATGAATGGAGGACTGGTTTTGTTGTTGCTGTTATTTTTAAGAGATTCAGTGTTTTATTTTTACTAGATTTTTTTCCTTTATGAATTTATAAATATGCTGGTATCCTTGCTGAAGCTAGTTAATGTGTAAGAAATGGGTAAATAAAACACTGACATGAGCAATGTGAATGCTTGTTTTGGAGTTGAAATTTGCGCTGTTCAGTCCCATGGCCAGTCTGCTCATCTGACCTTCGGCAGTGCACTGACTTGAAATAGAATGCTTATGGTTATCTTTTGGGTTGTCAGGCTTTATTCTAACATTCCTAATTCACACTGATTGTTATTTTTTTTTACTTGTGGATAACATCAGCTTTTGATATTGTACTCAAAATAGAGATCAGGTTTCAGGTCAAAATATCCTGAGAAATGAGTGGGATTCTTGCTTCTGGTATTCCAATCACAAGCCACAATTGAAAGGAAGAGCCACTTCGGTGCATAATTGTACTCCTGGGTGCTGCTGAATGGACAAAGCATGCTTCCTTAATTAAGGAGTGACAATATCACTCTTCAGTAATTGAGCTGAACATTACTGTCATAGAGAATCAAATTTGCTTAAAGAAAAAACATTTCTTCCAGCTTTGCAGTTTTGATACTATTACTGTGGTGAATATCTTGTTTAATAGTTTTCTTGCTTCCCTATATTCAAAAATATTTAGTTACTGGTTTAGTGTCAATCAATATCATAGCTTTTTTTTCTTGAACACTTTGACGTGAACAGGATTTTATTGTTCTTAGGTGTAACTAACAGAAAAGTTAGTAATTGGTGTAACTGCAACTCCCATTAAAGGCAAAGGGAATTGTCTGTGAATATCCAAGGATGGAATTTTGTTTTAAGCTGTCATTCTGTTACTTAATTCAATAAAGGTCCAGATTTGTGATTTTTAATTCATGATAATTAAAACACTAGTAGTCTCATATTAGAAAATACTACTAAATATTGAATATGTGGAGCATGAAATAGCACTCTGTTACAGAATCTCTCATGCCATTGGTAGTACAATTTAGTGTTTTCGAACATTTATATTTTTTCTTAAATGCTTTCAAATAAGAAAACGTCTAAAAAATAGTTTCTAGACTTCAAATAGAAGGCTTTTTTTTTTTTTTTTCTAATGTTCTGAACTCCACCTTGAATTGTGTAGGACTTTTGAAATGGCCATTAAAAAGGAGGGAAGATGTATTTCACAAATAATTAACTTGTCACCATATGAAACCTGCATCAGGAAAAATAAGACAATAGCACTGTCTTGTGATGGGAAAATCATTAAAGGAAAATATGCAAATTCATTTCAGATATATAAAGACAGATTAAAGAAGATCTAAACTTCTGAATCAGTTACCACAATCTGACTTGCTTCTGTTGTGTTGTAGAAGAACTAGGGCTTTTTTTCAGTTACAGCTCTGATAATTTTTCTAAAATAATTTCCTTTGTCCCTTTAATATCTTGATAATTTATTTTTTTAAAAAAGCACATAATTAATCAAAAAACATTATGAGAAGCACAATATGTGGTCAGTGCTTTAAACAACAACAACAGGATGCAGAAAATAATGATCTACGGCAGAACCAGCAAACAACCTTAGACCAATGAATATGTTTGGGGGTGGAGTTTGAATTCCTATGGTAAATCAAGTCAGTTAAAATGGGAGGTGTGTCCAAGAGAAGTAACCAGTTCTTTCATGTAAGTGTTTGGGAAGTTATGTACTGCATTTACCTCCAGCCCCAATAACTACTTCAGATATCTGCGTAAAAGGACGGTTGTTGATGTTTTCCAGATAGATACTATAGTAGCTAAATTAACAATTGAATAACCTATTCAGTGCTTCTTTTATTTTGCTTTTCTGTAGACAAAACATGGATGCACACTCCTGAAGCCTTATCAAAGCATTATATTCCCTATAATGCAAAGGTAAGAAAATATGAAGTTATTTTGTCCTCTTACCTTTAGAACTTGATGCGTTCTATCTTGCTTTTCATTTGAAAACTACAGAGACATGAATTAACCAAATGAAGTAGTGAAGAAAAACTTAGTTAAATATCTCTTTTGCAGATGAACAGTTTCTATTTCTTTAAATAATGGCCAGCTGATTCTTGTTCTGAATTATTTGATGCTTTTCTAGAAAGCACATCAGTGTTCCTCTTCTGCTTGATGCTCTGTTTCCTTTTAATGGATGCTAAATGGATGGAAAATTTGAGTGCAAAGGAATTTAACGTCAGGACGCATGCTTACAGTACTATAAAAATTAAAATTAATAGCACAAACTTTTGAACAATAGCAAAGGCAATGAGTAGTGATCTTATCTGCTGGATATATTGAAATGTCAAATACTCTGGAAATATGGTAGAATAATAATGGAATTTTTGCACAGTAAAACCTTATACTTTCTTACCCACAGTTACAGTGTAGCTCTACAGTAGTCTAGTGACACCTGTTTACAGAAAATGTACCTACCCAAAATAACAATTTACAAAATATTTTGCTGAAAGAAGGGAATACATACTAATCAGCATAACCTTAAGTAAAATGAATAATCAGCTATTACTTGCCTAAACTGGGAGGATAATTCAGTAAGATTCCACTGTGGTCTGTTCTGGATAAAGTTATTGTGTGATTCGTGTTTTTTACTATAAAGATGAAAATTATTTCACAGACCAGGACTTAGTTTCCTATACTGGTCTTCCCTGCTGTTGGGTTTACAACTTTCTTTTGCTTAGTATTGTCACATATACTGAGCAGGTGTTTGTAGTGGAAATTTGAATCTTGTTCTGCTAGTTGCCAGATGAACATTTTTTTTTATACTGTGTGCTCTCAAACTAAATTATTACCATTTAACTATATAGTCTTGTCAGACACTTTGGCTTTTATATTACAGTTTTTGAGAAGGAGGAATACTTGCTGGGGTGACTGTGCCATCTGTTTTCAGAGCAAGCTGAAGCTTTGAATTCTATTAGTGCACTGGAACAATGTCCATTTGTTTCTGGTCTTTACAAGGAATCCTCCCTCATCTTTCATGTCTCATTGTCTTTCTTAAGAAAGTATCTCATGAATAGGTGTTAGGACAGCTATGCAGAAAAAAATTTTAGAATAAAAACCACTGTGGTGAGATGGTGATAATCATAGAAACAACATCAACAACTTCTGGGGGAGAAAAAAAGGAATAGGGAATTGCTGTCCAAAGGAAGTCTTCTCAGTCTTATTAGGAAGACTCTTAGTTCAAAAAAGTCTTCCCTTTAATTTAGATTAATATATGTCCAAGCATCCTCTCCAGCTCTGCTCCTGTTTAATGTGGGTTCTGACTTCAGAGGACCTCCTCAACCTCTGTGCTATTTCTCCTAAGGTCTGTCAGAATACTTGCAGGAAGCTGCAATGTACTGCAGCATACGTGTATAAAAAAAGAAGTTACCCATGTTTTCATTTGGATCACAGTATAAAATTACTATTTAGAACTGTCAGTTATTTGATTCATTATTCCAAAGCAAGTTAAAAATTGCTCTGCTCTGTAAATGGAGTGTAAAGGGTATGGGATTTTCACATCACTGTTTTTATTGAGACCTGGCATAAAATTGCACAGCTTTTATGAGGTTAGCTGGCATATGTAGACAAAACATTATTAAATCTAGATGATGTTTCCACCTCAATTCTCAAGTACCATTTTCATTAAGTTTTGCGATATTTTTTAAGAGGAAAGCATATATCTGCTAGTACCTCATTTGGGTTTTGTAATGTTTTGATTTTAAACTAAAATATCCCATTGATTTCATATCTTGTAAGTACACTGTGAAATAGTGATTAAAAGTTCGGAAAGCATTCATAAAGCAAGTATTGAAAAAGACTCATTTATTATTCTTTTTACAAATGTTCATATTGTTCAACTTCCAGTTCTATAAGATATTCTATTCATATAACTTTTATATTTGTTGGAAGGAAAAGACAACACTTTATCTGATTTATTTCAAAAGGTAATTATTTGGGTGAAGAATGATGTCAGAAAATCAAGGCAATTTGATGGAAAGCAATACCAGAGATGTTCTTTTTCCATGGGCAACTGAGCTATATTCTGCTACATCTTTTTTTGAACAAAAATTATCATAGATGAAGAATTGTGTTTTCTCTTGTTTATAAGACACAAAAATTGTCTAATGCTAATCTTCTGAGATGACCAGAAAAAGAAGAGCTTACTAAGAACAACTGGAAAAGATAGGGGTTTGTTTACTTGATTCTGAAGACATCTTTAAGAATTAAAGCTTGTTGATAAAATGTAGTTTGAGCTGACTGTTACCTTATTAAAAAAAATACTAGCAAAGTTAACAGGAAATTAAAAGAGCAGTGCGATATAGACAACTGGCCTTTTTTCTACAAATTGGAGAGGACTTTTTAATAGAGAATTAGTAATGTCTTGCATCTCTTAGGGCATACACCCTCAGGATGATATCACAGAATCATCTGTTAGAAAAGACGTTGAAGATTATCCAGTCCAACCATTAACCCAACACCAACAGTTCCCAGCTACACCATATCCCTCAGCACTTTGTCGATCTCGACTCTTAAACCCCTCCAGGGATGGAGACTCCACCACTGCCCCGGGCAGCCCATTGTAATGCCTGACAACCTGTTCTGTAATGAAATGCTTCCTAATATCCAGCCTAAACCTTCCCTAGTGCAACTTGAGGCCATTCCCTCTTGTCCTGTCACTTGTTACTTGGTTTGGTTAGAGACTCATCCCCAGCTCTCTGCACCCTCCTTTCAGAGAGCTGTAGAGGGCGATGAGGTCTCCCCTCAGCCTCCTCTTCTCCAGACTAAACACCCCCAGTTCCCTCAGCCGCTCCCCGTACCACCTGTGCTCCAGACCCTGCACCAGCTCCATTGCCGTTCTCTGGACACGCTCGAGTCATTCAATGTCCTTTTTGTAGTGAGGGGCCCAAAACTGAACCCAGTCATCGAGGGGCGGCCTCCCCAGTGCCGAGTACAGGGGTGAGATCCCTTCCCTGTCCCTGCTGGCCACGCTAGTGCTGACACAAGCCAGGATGCCATTGGCCTTCTTGGCCCCCTGGGCACACTGCTGGCTCCTGTTCAGCCGGCTGTCAATCACCCCCCAGGTCCCTCTCTGACTGGCAGCTCTCCAGCCACTCCTCCCCAAGCCTGTAGCGCTGCTGGGGGTTGTTGTGGCCCAAAGGCAGCCCCCGGCATTTGCCCTTAGTGAAACTCCCCCAGTTGGCCTCAGCCCATGGCTCCAGCCTGGCCAGGGCTCTCTGCAGAGCCTCCCTGCCCTCGAGCAGATCAACACTCCCACCCAATTTAGTGTCATCTGCAAATTTACTGAGGGTACACTCGATCCCCTCGTCTAGATCATCAGTAAAGATGTTAAACAGAATTATTATTTATGGCAATAATCTTCTTTGCAAGAAAGTGCAAGCAGAGTTGTTTCTTCTGGAAGTAAAATCCAGGAGCCATGAGCATCATAAGAATGCCCTTAACTATAAAAGTATTTTGATCTCTCTCCTTTCTGCCATACCCAGCCCTCATGGTACTTGGTATTTTGAAGTTTGCTGGGTTTTGGCATGGGTTGGTGTATTATGCCATAAGATGATGGAAGCCTGGGGTTTGGGGTTTTTTGATTTGGGTTTATTTTCTTTATGTCATTGGTTTGGGTTTTGCTGTGAGTTTTGGTTTGGTTGTTTTGGGGTTTCTTTTAGTCTGATCTTACTGATGTCCCCAGTCTCGGTCTTGCTGAAAGCACTTATAATAAGACTCCACACATTTCAGTGTGCTCTCGAGGTGAAATTTTGCCATCCGTTTGTGATCCCATATTTTTCTTCAATTGAAAGCATATTGGTTTTGTTTTGTTTTGTTTTTTTTTCAAAAAAGACCAGTTAGAATCTTGATAATATATTATCAGATACAGGGATATAAGACTCATTTAGACGTAGTAACATGACAATTTTTGTGTTACTGGGTTATAAAATGCTAAAGCAACCCAAAATTTCTTTTTTGTATTAGCTTTTTTCTTTAACATTCCATAACTAAGAACAGATGTATGTGTTATTTTCCATACTGTAGAGAAAAAAGTTCTCTTTTGCTGTTAAGTTAATTCTCTTGATTTTAGGCCAGATTCCTTTCTCCAGAACAGACATGATCAAAGTGTGACTTTATAATGGAATTTGTCTGCAACCTTAAAAATGGACTGATTTGTTGTCATCATATAACTGATACTACCCTGAGGGGTGTCTTTCTGCAACTAAAACTTTGCTGCTGCCTAAAACAGCAATGTTGACAATGTCTCTCTGTATTAAGTTGTATATATATTTCCCTATATAGTCACTTGGCTATTTTTTGGCTTATAAATTATCAAATTATCAAATTTTGACGTGCACATTTTTCCATTTTGCAGATTAGAGGTTCTACTTTGCAAGCCTGGTGTTTGTTGGCTACTAGTATACTATGGAGTCAGTAGCTTTGCCCTTAACTCTAGGCTGAAGAGGTGCTACTGTACATAATAACATGATGGCAATGTTAAACCTTTGGGAATTTATTTTGCCAAGAGATGTGATGGCTTCCTAGTGCTGACCCAGCTGCTGACCTAATGTTTACTTCAGGCTTATTTTAAAACTTCGTTGTGCACATATTTCTGATTCTTGATGAAGTTTAAATCTGAAACTTTGAGGATAAATGAGAAGAGCTTTCCAAAAAAAGATGGTTAAACATCTCTTACTTTGTATTATTTTGGGGTTTTGATGACAAATAACTGTGATTTGTTTTGCAGTTTAATGCATTATCTTTCTTCTCAATTATTCAATATATATATTGGATCTGTATTACAACTGTAGGAAAGGCAAAAATTACCTCAGGGGCATTAGTAATAAATGCCCTGCAAAAAGACCTTGCTTGGGAATACCTAATAGTATTAATCT